TGCTGCAGCTGCTCTTGCTGCTCTGCTCTGCTCTGTCCTCATAGGACACTCAGGATTAAGGCTTTCTATAGTTGCCCCTTTGTCTGATGCCCCAGAGGGGTTTCCAACCCATGAAGACGCACTTGATAACAGTTTGCTAAGAATTTTGTTTCAAAAGTGTTGTTGAAACAGGAGAACTCAACACAAAGAGTGTATGTATGAATAGTGGATGTAGATGTTGATCCCTTAAATCTCTCCCTTGCCTATAACCATAGAAAGTCTTTATGTACCCTGAGAGGCACATGTATCCCAGTTTAGAGAACACTGTCTTGGAGTACTCATATTCATGTTCTAGTACTGACACCACAGCATTATAGGAACATTCATTGAATCTTCTCCAATAAAAACAGGTTGTGGAAGCTGGTTTTATGGATACGAAAGTGAGGTAATTAAATCCAAACTGTCTTAAAGCAGTATCTTATTACAGCTTTTCAGTGTGAGTGTCTATTATAGCTCAGAATTGTTATAACTTACTGTGGTTTATCACTATTATTATGTGCAATACCAGGTCCTTGTTTTTTCAAAAACATCACATCTGTCATCTTCAGTATTCTTTGGTACTAACCATAATTCTGGTTCTTCACTACAAATAATATACTCAAGAGGGTCTTTTCAGTTTTTATTTGCAGACACATGTGTCAGCACAGATGTGTGCTTATATTTTATCTCCTCTACATAAGACACTGAGTGTTAGTAATAGTGCATCATATACACATATGAAGCAGATGGTATGTCTAAATGCTATAATGTCAATCATACCCATAATAATGTATAATTCTTACCCCTTTTAATTTTATCTTATTTTAGTACATTACACTCAATCCTACTAAAATACAGACTTCTTGAAACCAGGATGAGTATCAGTGTCTGATTATTTTGTGTGTCCTACAGAGTCTACCACAAAGCACTTACATGTAGAGGGAGCCATATGAATGTTTTTTGAATAAACAAAAAAATGAACAAATACTCTCTTTCGTGACAAATACTGTAGCACTGTCCTAAGTATTTTATTTATTTTTTAAGAGTATGCTCTAATGTTTACCATGTACAAGGTTTTAAGCATTTAAGAAAATGAGATATGAGTGGGTTTCCCATCAGTGTTCTCCAGGAACATTATTTCATAGCTACAGAGCCTCTAGAAAGAATCGAGACTGTTGGAACAGGTTCTTCTCTCTTTTCTTCAGATCCCTGCATTAGAATTGTATGTGCTTGCTTGTTCTTGAGAATAGGGTTAGGTGGTAAATGTCCACATCCTAGCCCATCAGTCTCCTTGGCTATCTCAACTCTGCTAACAAAGGAGTGATTATCTTATGTTTTCCTTAGAGTCCAGAGATCTGCTAGACAAATATGTTTGTTTATTACATAAGCAACATTATATCAACAGCAATGACAATGGAAAGGAAATATTCTTCTATAATCTGACCACCCTGAAACATGAATTACACTTCTGTTTTCGCAGATTCTTTTCCCGTTTTTCAGACACTTGGTCCATAGAGATAAACTTAGGGTGATCATCAAGCAATAAAGCCAATTCCACAAGCCATTAATGGTACTGTATTGTTTCTATTAGTTGCAGAAATCAACCTGTTAATAGAGAATAACTTCAGAGTCAGCTTAGCTTCTCATCTGTTGCTTTAAGGAAACAGATTTTTCACTATGTTCACTATGTAAATCTTGAATTTAATGTTTTTGATGTTATGAATATGGCAAGACTTTTGTTCATTTAATTTACAAACAACAAAGACTATAATTAGTACAAAAGCTATCCTGAGATGAACAGGGGATAGAAGATCCTGTTCTCAAAGAAGTTGTAGGCTGTTAGGAAAGAATCAGGAGATAGTTCCAGCAAAATTAGTAAAGGATCCAGAGCAGCAGTTCTTAACCCTTTAAGTCTCATGACCCCTTTACACTCAAAATTTTTGTGGACCCTAAAGAGCTTTGGAGTGTATGAGCTGTATCTATCTCCTTACCATATTAGAAATTCAAACTAAGACTTTAAAAATACTCATTCATTAAAAATAATAAATCCATCATCTGTTAAATAACATGTTTTTATGAAAAATTACTTTTACAAACAAAATTATTTAGTGAGAAGAGTTGCATTGTTGTACATTTCTGCAACTAATGTGTGGCTTAATTGAAGACAGCTGTATCCTCAGATCTGTTTCACACATTCCGTTAGCTGTCAGAGAAGTAACATCGTCACACTACATGGAGCCTCTGGAAAACCGTGTACACTTTTGAGAGAATGAGAGTGAAAAAGGTTGTGTTACTGATGAACTCTCAAAGAGGGCCACACTTCAAGAACCATTACTGTAGAGGATAGACAGTTGAAACGTAAGTGGCAAATTTGTCTTTCTCTGGAAAAGTGTCTGGTTTGGGCTGTCACCCAGTGCTTCTTTGGGCTGGTCAGCCTTTTGCTTCATCCTGCTTAAGTCCCCAAATTCACTGGGTTAGTCACTGCTTTGATGTTTCCATCATTAATAAAGCCAGTCGTTTGCTCACCCTCAAACACAGATGGAAGATTCTCTGCATTCAAATTTTCTCTCTCCCAGTCCTTAGAAAAGTACTAAATGACAAAATTGCTTTCATAAGACATTGTGTTTTGTTTGAAACCCCAATTTGAAATAAGGAGATGGAAACCACTAAGTTTCCTGGTTCTTATAAATGGGTCCATACATAGTGCTATGCAGTTCAGCTGACATTTAATTCATTTCAGACCTTGATGAAACAAATACAGTGACAGCTACTATGTGCAAGGCACTACACTTGTTATTTGTCAGCTCCTTTTTTCTCCCAAACCTGCCTGTATACTTGCATGGATCGGTATGATCATAATTTAGTTTTTTTCCTGGTAACAACCAAGTAGTGTGGTGATACCAAAATTTGTTTGGCCCTAAGAAGTCTGAAGTAGTGTAACGTCGTCCTAGTCCTAAATATGTAACTACTCATTTTGATGGGCTTACATTCCTGTATTTGTTCTCATTATTCCAGAGCTAGTTTAATGCATTACGTTGTGTTCCTGATTTAATATGTTGATTACTAAGCAGAAAACTGCATACATCACACTCCTTTTATTTTTATATCTGCTCTCACAGCTAGACTTTGATAGCCTGATTATGATTATATCCCATTTTATCTTTTAGCAATTCTTGTCTAATATATAATTTTAATTGTGTTGCGTTGATAGCAGCTGTGTTCGTGGTCAAATAACGATGGAGTTCTAGCAGTTTGCAGAGTAATTACATGGAATTTATTGGAAAGCCTCTTTATTTGAAATAGAATTTGGTAATCAGGCCTATAATTTATGTTTCCTTGCTATCCTCCCTGCTTTTTCAATGGGACTTTTTGCTGTTTAGTCTAAATTTTAGGAGCACTCATAAAAATAGCTATGACCAGTCTTTTTTATTCTGTGTATGCTGCTTTCTTTTATTTCTCTCACAAGTCAAAGGTTTTCTAAAAATTACAGCTACAGCATACCATAGCCATAATGTAATGTTCAATTCATCTGACTTGGTCAGCAGGATCTAGAAGAACAGTAACACTTTTTTTGGCATCTGCTAGTTGAATATGAGTGTACATCTGTGTCTGTTTTATGTCCTTGTTACTGAAGATCCTGTCATCGTTATTGAGATCCTTTAGAGACGCCATAAATGGGTCCAGACCCAGCAATTTCGCTTATTACTATTTTCCTTCATTGTGAAATAAGAATTAGGGCATGAAGTTATGGAGGAGGCTTTAGCTTGGTGTCAGAGAAATATATGGCAAAAATGGGACACTGTGAGCCAGGACTCTTCATCACCTGAACGATTAATCTTACTAGGTTCCCCAGAGAGGTCAGAAGTGAAATAAGATGCAAATAGTCAGATGACCCATTAATTACAAAGGAGCTTGGGAGCTATTAGCAGAGAAGCAGGATTCTAAGAAGAGTTACTGAAATCCTCAAATTGAGCACAAGGACTGGAAGTGGGGCAAATCTCTCTTTTAAGAGCAGAAAAAGGAGCAAAGTAACTGAGAAAAGGGGTCTCCTAAAAAGAAAACCTGCCTACAGGTGAGGTTCCACAACCAGAAAAAGGCCAGTCTGAGAGTCCACGGGCACAGAGCTTGGGTAGTTAGGCAGCTACAAGGAGAATATTTTCATCGTGAGAACAAAGGAGGTGCCCATGAATATGAATCTGGACTAGAAAAGACCCTGTCTATGCCCTTATGAAAGGGCCAGAAGGGGACTTGAAAAGCTGCTCAGGCTAGGCCTGGAAGGAGACACTGGAACTGGCATGGGAGTGATAACAAGTACAGCACATGTAAATCTCTACCAGGATAATTACTTACCGCCTAAATAATGTGTTTTGACTTCTGCAATACTGTCTTGTTAGGGGGCGTTCTAGTAAGAACCTTTGGACAATGGATGTACGTTTAATTCCGTGAATATTTTGCCTCTTCTATCACTCTTTTAATTTTTCTTATTAAAAATACCTACCTACCCAAATGAATTTTTCTTTATGCTATTTACTCAGATGAATTTTTTGCCTTGTTTTGAATATATTACAGCTATCAAGCAGCAGCATTTAAAAGGTTAATTACTGTGAATACACTGCTGTGCTAAATAGCCTACTCATTTTTCTCACTTTTCTTTTTGTTTTCTTCCCCCATCCCCTCCCTTTCCCACCACTCTGAAATGGAGTTCTTCATTATTTGGAAATGAATCCTTAAATCAAAGTCTCCCTCTTTTCCATACTTTCCATTTTGATTGCTACTACATCCCCACCTTCCCCCCGAAAATTGACTGTCTTCCAACAGATTAAGACTTTAGGTCCTTAGACTAAAAGTTTCAGGTAGATGTCCCCTTAATCCTTCAAAGCCTACCTGGGCCTTCCACAGCCATGATGCCTTTCCCTGACTGCCCTGCCCCTAGGGAGAAGTATTCAAAAAGCCACTTAGCATGTGATGCCTTGTATTTTCAGATGTGTGTGTATTCCTGAAAGCGCCTCCTGGTTCATAGCATGCGGAGCTGCCTTTACATGTGAGATGGTGGTGGTGCTCCTGGGCTGTCCTCAGGTTCCTGATATTTTCATTGTTTATCATTGTCCCCATTCCTTCCTCCCACTCTCTGCAGTTGATTTTGAACTCTCTATGATCTGCATTCTTCTCTATCTTGTCTGTTTGGCCTAAGGTAGCCTTCTTTAAGACAGGGCTGATGTCTTCCCTACTGCCTGTTCGCTATTACCCCCAGCAAGAGATGGCAGTAAAATGTGCAGGTGGCAGGGGGCGGGTGGAATGACTGACAACACGTACACTCTCCAGCACTGACTGAAGCACCAATGGGAACGAGACAGTGGAAAACTGGGAGGCAGGGCAGTGCGCAGCAAGAAATTCAGACTCCGGAGGTCAGGTTTTACAGTTGAATTCTGGCTTTTCAACTTCTGTCTAGTGTGACGTGAGCAAACGATTTAACCCCCCTACAAGTCTCATTTACTTCACCTGTAGAATGGGGATAATATTAGAGCCTCCCTCCCAATAGGGTTATTCTGAGGATTAATAAAAAACAATCCATCCAAAAAGTCCTTATCATACGGCCTGGCACTACACATGTCAGTTCTCATTAGAAGGATGGCGAGTACTAAAAGAGTAGGTTTTAGATGTTCTCACCACAAAAAAATGATAAATATGTAGGTATTTAACAAATGTGTTAATTAGCCAGATTTAGCCATTCCACAATGTCTAGATACATAAAACATGATGTTGTAGGCCCAAGATATAGTTTTAACTTTCATTTTAAAAAATAAAGTAATTAAAAATAACAATGCAACTTGCTTGCCATATTGGAAAAAAAAAAAGTAGGACAGTGAGACAACACATATGAGCACATAGGTCACAATGGACTGGCCTAAAGTAGGCGTCAGCTGGGGGAGAATAGCACAAAGCACAATGGAATGAAAGATTGGACTACATACTGTTTACTGCAATCTATTTTAGGGCTTTTCATGGATCTTTTCGGCTATGCACATGATTAGTCATCATGATTGTTATTTTAGGTCAGAGTTTCTCAGCCTTAGCATTGTTGACATTTTGGTTAATTCTTTGTCGTGGGGGCTGCCCTGTGCACTGTAGGATGTTTAGCAGCATCCCTGGTCTCCACCTACTAAATGCCAGGAATGACACAGTACCTCCAACTCAGTTGTGACAACTACTGAATGTCTCCAGACATGGCAGAGAAGTGGAGTCTGGTTGAGAAGTCACTATTTTAGGGTATAATTTTTGGGTAGACTGTTAGATTCCTTGTATTAGTTATCCCTGGCATGTGTAACTCTTCTTAATTATCTGCTACTCAAATATATTTGGGATCAGCCACTCTCTTCCATTTCTCTTTTGTTCACAGATCTATTCCACAGCTCTTCTCCCTTCCTGGAAGAGACCAATGCTGTGAATGTGCATATCCAATGACATGCCAGCATATCAAAATGGATGCTAATAGCGGACCTTCCCAAAGCCTCACTGATGCTCTGCTCATCTTATCCCTGCTCTTCATTTTTTGGATGTGAATATGTACTTTGTCTGCTGGGTGTAGATACTCATAGACTCGGTCCACTTGGGCAGCAGTCCCAAACCTTTTTGGCACCAGGTTCCAGTTTTGTCGAAGACAGTTTTTCCATGGACTGGGGTGAGGGTGGTGGTAGATGGTTTTGGGATGAAACTCCCACCTCAGATCATCAGGCGTAAGGAGCATGCAACCTAGATCCCTCCCATGCACCGTTCACACTCCTGTGAGAATCTCATGCTGCTGCTGAGCTGACAGGAGGCGGAGTTCAGGTAGTAATGCTGCCTCATCCCACTGCTTACCTCCGGTTGTGTGAGAACAGGTCTAGAACTGGTACTGGTCTGCGGCCCTGGGGTTGGGGATTCCCGTATTTGGGGACTCAAAGGCAGGATGGGTTGACTGGGTTAGTACAATGATATACTATTCCTGGGCTTGGTTTCCACAGTCAAAAATGTCAAGAAGACTTAAAAATATTTTACAGTGTTGTTTTTTTTTTTTTCAGCTCTTGAGAAGAAAATACAAAGCAACAGGTTGAAAGATACCCTAGCTATCTGAGAAATAGGTCATTTGGGGTTTTCATATTGTTGGATAACTAATTTTGCAGTTTATTTTGTGTACTTTTAACTCTTTAAATTTTAATTGTGGATTTTTAGATTAAATTCATATTCCTAAGTATTTGATACATATTTCAAAATGTGTGTATTAAAAGGTATACTAGGAACAGTGTTCCTCTTACCACATCCTTCATCTCCCCAACTGTAACCACTGATACTAGTTTCTCATATGTACTTGTAGAGTTTCTTTATGAGTAAATAAGCAATTATAAATAAAGATTCTTATGCTCTCCCCTTTTTACACAAAAGTAGCTTACTACAAAAACACTTCCTCAGTGTCTTGTTTTCTGCAGCCAAACATTTCTTGGAGATCTTTCCATTAGATTAGTGCTCTTAAGTGGGGCAGGAAAAGCGAATAAAAATAAACATGATTGCTAAATACATCTTTACAACTTCATGGTAAAGAAAAACTTTGTAGGATCTATTTTATAATGGAATTAATGTGTCAGAGGTATGGGAGACATATACTTTTGCTGTTTTGAAATTTTTATTATTAAGATGGATTGTAATAGTAAGATTATTTACTTATAACAACACCTTGAGTGTTGTATATCTATCTTTATAATGTCTGTGTATAACACCTGCATTTATTTTCTTGGTTGAAAAACTGAGGCCCAGGCAGATTAAATACCATGCCAGGTTGTCATTATGGTGGCCCTGGAGCTGGAACTAAAGTGTAGACTCCAATTCCCAGTGTGAGCCTTGGCTTATAGAGAGAAGGAAACAAGCATATTGTAGATCTACTTTGTCCCACTAGATCTCACTTACTACTTAAAGCAACTTTATGAGATAAGTACTATTATTCTTATTTTGCAAATGGAGGAGAAACCAAAAACTAAAATTTAGAGGGTTTAAATAATTTTCCAAAAAGTTCAGGTAACAGACCAGAATAAAAATTCACTGGCTGCAAAGTCTGTGTTCTTTCCACCTAACCACCAGGATACATGATAGAAAATCAAGACAGAAAACTCAGAATCTGAGTTTCCTTATCCCGTACCATGTTTTTGGTGTCCATTTATTAATTCCTGTGCTTTCTGCACCACCCACTTGGCTCCCTGACCCCTTCTACTGTTCTCTTTACTCACTCTGCTCCTCTGCCCACTCACCAGCTTCCTTGCTGTTCCTCAAACAGAACACAGCCTGGTGTGCTTTTGTGCTGGCTGTCTCCCCAGGAGCCACTGGACTCCCCCTCACCTCATTAGTACCATCTGGCATACTATATTTTATGTATTTATGGATTACTTCCTGTCTCTCTTACTAGAATGTAAACTTCATACAGGTAGGCATATGTGTGTGTGTGCGTGCACACACATCTTATTCAATGATTAGTCAATCATCCGTCTGTTTTATTCAATACTATATTTCTGTTAGGGAACAGTACCTGGTATTTAATTGGTTTTCAATAAATATTTGAACAAATACCTGTTCTATTTTTGAAATAGGTACCATATTTGAAAGTAATGTTTGAAAGTATTAACTGAGCACAGACATATAGTAGGCCCTCCTCTCAATAGCCTAGGAATAACCGCTGGTTGAACAATTTTTATATGCCATGTACCAGCTTAGTCCTGGAAACAGTCATAGGAGGCAGGTATTACTGTCTTCTTATTCTACAAATAAGAACTAAGGCTCAAAAAGCTAATTTGCCACAGGTCCTGCTAGTAACTGGCGGAGCCAGAATGCCAGTGTAGTTTTTACTCCAAATCCTGTTTCTCACCCCATTACATACATCCACACTTCCTGTCTCATATCTGATGAGCCATCCTCTCCAGGGAATTTGTGTGTTGTAATATTCTACCTGTCAGAGATCCCAGATCACCACCACTAGCAATCCAGTGCTGTGTCACAGTATTTCCTGTAGGTCCATGGCTACTTTGAGCCTTGATCTTGAGACATTCGCAGATATTCTCTTAATCATAACAATATAGCAAGTTTTGTCATTTGGCATAAATTCATAATTATTTTTGCATGGCCAGTAATAACATCTCATGTTCCCCAGAGGAGGTGGGTTTGTCATAAATACCATTTCCATGGACTATTTCGAGGATCCGAAAGTTTTTGGAAGATATATTTAACAGGCAGCCATTTCTCAGACAGACTTCAAGGGCATAATACTATACATATCCTTAGAAATATGTGTGTATATATTTTATCTTATTAAGAGTATTTATATGTATTTTTTATTACTCACAATCCATTTATATTTCAATGGTCCTTTTGTATTTTAGCAGATTAAAGAAACCAGAAATGGTTCATTGGAAAATCATTCTGATGTAGCTGCTAATTTTGTTTTTAACGTCCATTAGTCCCTTTTTCTCTTCCCAGGTCAGAGGTTATTTTCATTCAGATATTGCACATGGCTATTTTGGAGGATTTACTATGATTCTTTCTCTTAACCCCTACTCTTCAGTGGGCTGCTTTTCTTTCTTTATTCTCTCCTTTTAAAAAAGTAGATTACAAAGCATGTATCCTTTTCCAGAACTTAGAGCAAAAAGTCAAAATAAAACTTTTTTTAAGCCGCTGGCTGCTTTTTTTTTTTTTTTTTTTTTTAAAGGCTTTCCTTTTTCATTTGGCTTTCTTACCTTAATTGTTGTTTAGTTCACCATATTTAATAAAAAGCCAAAGCAGGGACCAGTCATGCGCCAGAATGGGTAAATTCACTGGTTTTTACCTCCTTGTAATCTGGCTGCCTACACAGAGGCAGTGGCTAAAGTGGTATGCTTGGGAAACCAGACGTTTCCTAACTTGTTAGTGGGAAATTCAAACTTAGAAACCACAACAACAGACGCTTATGTTTTACTGTGACTACTGAAGTCACACAGTTTGTCATAGAAACAGGATAGATAGCAGCCTAAAGAGTATAAAATGCAACATTTTGATCCTTAGAGGGCTTTTTTGTTCCTCCATTTTAGCTGTCATAAATCAGTAAACAAGGAAAATAGGGAAATTTAATACATTTAAGAGTACTTAGAGGTTCAGGCAGTTAAAGGATGAGGGTTAATATGTGGCTTGGCTTCCTGCTGAACAAACAGATCATGAGCCACAATGAGCATCCTACTTCTCTACCTTTACCCACTCTTCCTAGTTCCTGAGGATGATTGGTTTACATCTCTTCCATGATTTTTGAAAAGCTAGAGTTTGGGATGTGTGTAATGTCTGATTACAGACAAGCGGAAAAATTTTATTCTGTAATCTGCTGGAACATAGATGACCATTTTTCTTGTGGTCTGTGTTTTGCTTGTCCTCTTGCATGCTTTATACAAATTAAAATTAGTTTGGGTATCTGAGCCTTGTTTAATTTCCCCTTGAATATAAGTCCAGAGCATTTGGGTTATGTTTTCCTTTTCAGAAGTTTCTGAATACTGAGAAGGCAGATGCATAAACAGAGTCTGATCGTACTTCCTCTCCTCTAAGGTGGGTTCTTTTAAGATGACCGTGTTCTAGATAGAGGCTATTAAGCTTGCATAGCAACGGGTGGTTCTATCAAAATATGACAATGGTCAACAGCGTATCTGCTAGAGGTGAGAGCAATGACTTTATACCCCACTTCTCTTGGTACTGAGCCTGCTATTTATACTGTCCCTGAGCAGGAGTTTCACCCATTCAGTGTATCTATGTGAGAAATGTTCTGTTTATGGCAGTTAAAGAAATGGCTATAGTGTACCTCATATATGTGCTATTTGGATACCATCCATTTTTGCCCTAGCCTCATCTTACCTTGTGCTTTGAATTTTAAGAGAAGGCAAACTATCTCAGGTTTTAGTAGCTGAGAAAAGAGTTTTTGAAAAAAGCTCTGGCTTCACTATTCATCAAAGTTTACTCATTCATAGCTAAAAACAAAGAAAGCAGCACCCCAGGTATTAAACAATTGAAAAGCCACATATCTGATGGACGGGAAATCTTGCACCAAAATCTGCTAGTGACCTAACTATCTGACCTTGCCTCCTCTGCTTGTCACCTGAGCTGCAACATAGGGAGAGCAGTGCAATTTTGTCTCTAAGGTCTACAAAGCCTTTGGCAATCTTCAAATCTCATTTCCACAAAATAAAAACTCCCAACAACCTTTAGAATCCTTTCCTCCCTTCTTTCCTATATAACACTGTATGCAGATTCACATATCGAGATTTTATGGCTGATCAAGTCTCAATGGTTCAAAAGAATGGAAAACCTTAAGTAGTTGGAATTCCGTGGGATTAGATTTATTTGCATCTGTTGTAGTTCACAAGATGTAAGTATGCTGTAAAAGCAAAGAAGTACTTACTAAATTGAAAGTACAATTAAACTGAAAATGAACATCTAGGCAAAAAGTATTTAGACTGTTAATTTCAAAAGCGACTCTTTATTGTTTGTGGCTAGGATCTAATATGAGCCATTTAGCCCAAGTTGTAGGATTTGTCTTACAGATTTGGTTTTTGTGGGTGCCTTGAGGCATAGTAAAGCAGGGAGATTCCAAACTAGGTTTTAAGTATTTTGCAGTCACTGGCTCTCTCTGGTCCTTTACCTGCTCCAGAAGTTGTCTCTTACTTCAGATGACTAAGACATTTTTAGGAAAGCACTTGTCTCTCACAGGAGGGACTGCCTTATACCAGGGGAATCAAGGTACCGGGTAACCTCTCTTTACAGAGTGGCTAAGGTTAGGCACTCTAGAGACAGCTCTT